CCTCCAAGTGTTATCCCGAGGCGCCGGCTCGGTAGCAGGATCCGGGAGGATGCCCGTAGCAGGATCCGGGAGGAGGACGCACGGGCCGGCTACTGCCTGGTTCGGCCGCCCCGCCTCCCCGAGAGGACGGTACCGGCCTTGAACGAGGAGTGCTCACCCAATACGACAGGGGTGGGGGAAGATCCGCGTATCACTGACACCGGAATGACAAGACGGATCTGATGGTGCTCCCTGTTGCCGCCCAAGGAGACCTCCTGAGGAGAAAATGGAAGATCTCCCCTCTGAACCCTAAACCTCCGTAGCAGATCTGAAACCTCCGTAGCAGATCTGATTGCAGCTGAGCTCGCAGATAGCTGGGCTTCCAGACGGCAAGAGGAAAAAAAGCGGGCCTGTCGAATGGCATCTGCGCTTCCCGTGTCCATCGTTCATCTTGCTGCACGATAGCTTTCATCTGTGTTGGTGGCTGGAATGAGTGATGTCCGGCGCTGTGCGGCTGTCCCGTGTGGTGCTGGGCACCAAGTGTGGCCCGAGCAAGGGCCGAGGGCCGCTGCTGCCAAAGCACACGGGGCCGGGATTCAAGAAGGGATTCGGTGCAATCGGACTGGGCAGACACACAAAGAAAGGTACGTATCTATGTGTGGGACAGACAAGCAGACAGAGATGGGCACGGTTGACTTGATGGCCTCTCTCTGCGGTGTTTGCTGTGTGTGTCTGTGTGGCTGTGTGCGTGTGCGTGCAGGGTTTTTCATTGTGAATCCGATGCTGGTGCCTTCCTTCAAGGTGCCTGACCTGACGGGCTTCCAGGTGACCGACCTCACAGACCCTCAACGATTCATTCCCACAAGCACACTCACCACCGCCACACGCAACACGTCACACACAAGCGCCGTGCCGTCTGTTGGATTGTGTGTGTGTGCAGTTGAAGCCCTATGTGTCGCGCAAGACGCCCGTCATCACTGGGGCGAAGGGATACTGGGTGGGAGGAAGGGTGAACCCCTAGGCAGCCACCCTGCAGGCCCTGCACACCTCGATCGGTCTGCCATTTGTTGCTTGCCCGGCTGACTCAGAGGAGATGTGAAGACAATTGATTGTCGCCGGGTTTTTCCTGTTTCGGACGGCCGTGGTGCGTGTGGGTGTGCGCGGGGCGTTGTAGCTGTCTGTTGGTGAGCTGCTTGCCTCTCTCGTGTGTGCCTGGTCGGTCGGTCGCCTGACCTACCCCTCGTCTAACAGCAACATTTGAGTGAGTGTGTGTGGTGTTGTCAGTCAATTGTCAGTGCTTTTTGCTCTTGCCACACACACGCCAAATACAGAATGCACCACCCAGGCCTTTGATAAAGTCGCACAATGACAGCCGTAGGACGGCCGCTGTGTGCATGGTGTTGAGCGCCTGACGAAGGCTGTTCGTCTGTCTGTCTGTGAGAGCGATGAGGGTGTGGCGTTAAGGAAGAAGAGAAGACATGTCTGTCTGTCTGTCTGTGTGAGGTGTGTGTGCCAATGAGTGCAGCACAGCCACCCACCCATCCGTCCACCAACACAGACGCACACACCAACGTGAACAGACAGACATGGATTGATTGATGCGCTGCCAGACAGACAACCGATGGGATTGATTACCCAAATCACACTCGCAAATACAAATACACGTACACATACACACATTGCAAAATGACCACACACTCATAAACTGCCGGCCCACCCAGGGCTTTCACGACTGATGGACCGGACGCATCGCCCTCCCGGTGTGTGCGTGAAGTTTGTCTGTGAGGGGGAGCGGAGCGATGATGGTGTGTTTGTGTCCCTGTGTGGTGGTGTCTCATGGGTACATGGCTGTGTGTGTGTGTGTGTGTGTTGCCTGTCTGGAGCGGCCCGACTCATCAATAATGTGTGTGCTTTGTGAGATAGATAGTCTATCCGTCCATTCACTCCCAGGCCAGCACACACACGGATGCGCGGCCAGCCAGACAGCCGATGGGATTGACTACCCAAATCACACTCACACACACATTGCAAAATGACCACTAAAACTCAGAGAGCGACAACAACAGGGCCAGCAGTGTGTTCGACTTTCTCGGCTGAGAAATGTGTGTGTGTAGTGTGGTCTCACCAGCCTCTGCCGCCTGTCGGTGTGGGTGCCGTCGGATCGGTTCAGCCGCTCCCCATCTGCGGCACACAGACAGACACAGCAGTGTTGGCCACGAGCAGCCAGCCACCCATATGTGCTCCCTTTTCGTCGCTCACACCCACCTGCCACACCTCCATCTCGCTGCACGTGAAGTTGAGCCTGCTGGCCAGTGTGCCGGCGCCCTCCTCATTGACCGTCGTCCCCTTGTAGCCGTCGGGCACCCCCTTCTTCGCGGTCCACTGCTGGCAGCGGCTAAGGTCGGCCGCAGGACCAGGCTGAGCCCACCCCAGCCACAGCTGGCCGCCAGCGATGCACACATTGGCACTCCAGTCCATATTGTTGGCCTTCGCCACCCCCTGTGTGCCAGCCACCTCCATCTGCTGCTTCTCCTCGGGCACCTCGATCTTGGTGGGCGTCTCGTACGCACCCGACAGCGAATAGAAGAAGACGGGCACATCGTAGTAGTTGGCCTGTCTGAAGTCGTCTGGCGGTCTAATCTGGCCGTCGATGAAGCAGCCGAATCGGTGTGTGTCGCCGTCTCGGAGGGCCAACAGCAGACCGCTCTTACCGGTCACCTTGTTGAGGAAGGACGGATACGCGAATGTGTCACGACTCGACCTGATTGACACACAGAAGGACAGTGTGGTCTCGGCCTGTCAGCTGCCTCTGGCGTGTGAGTGCTGCATCTCACTTGTACAGCAGTGATGGCGCTACAGCGATCTTCTTGTCTGTCATCGCCATCACCGCCAGCCACTCGTCGGCCGTCTTGATCACAGCGGACGCCCCCGCCGCCTCACCCACAGGCGGCATTGTGTTGAGGCCGTACATTCCCAGCTCGACGGCGAACATCTCCTTCTCGTGCGCCGCCACCACCGGCGGATGGACAAAGCGGCCGGCGGGCATGACCGACAAACGGCGGCCGAAGTCGACGACGAGCTGCAGGAACCTGAGGGACGTCTGGCGCACCTCCTGGTCGGGCCACTGAGTCCTGAAACCCACACAGACGAACAAGGTCATGTGTCATCGTCCTCTGTGCTGCTCTATCGCTCTCGCACCGGTCAAACCGCTTCACAAGCACATGGTCTGGCCCGCAGAGGGCGATGGTGCGGCGGAGGACCGACACATCCTCATCAGACACACTCAGTGTCATCACTTCGGTGTCCTCATCGCTGCTGTCCCCCTTGACGAACGGCCGCATGGCCACCAAGAAGGCCTCCATCTTCTCCTTCTGCTTGCGAAGCCCCTCGAGCAGGCCCTCGTAGCGCCGCATGCACTGCTCCATCTGCCGAAAGCCTCTCTTCGCGCCGCCCTCCCCGCCGCCCTCTGCCGCCGTGCCAGTTGACTGTGGCTGATTCCCAATCTCGATGGCACCGCCCAGCGTCCGCATGAACAGCGAGTGGTACTCGGCATAAGAGGGATCGTCGGCCTCCGGTGAGTGCAGGCTGATCTCGTCGAGGTGGGGGCTCTCGAGCAGTGCCAGCTGGTCACGCAGCCAGCGGAAGTAGGCCGGGTGCATCTCGAGGAATGGCAGCTGATTGGCGTCCTTGGGCAGCTGGTCGCTGAAGTGCAACAGCAAAGTCGAGAGGTACGTCTGCTTCATCTTGGGATGGAGAAGCGCCGACACGGGGATAGACATAACAGTGCCGCCCACATTGAGCCGAAGGCGGTCCTCTGTCTGCCGCGGCTGCAGACTGCCGCCATTTGCGACGAACAGCTGCTTGATCTCCTCCGCCAGCTGTTCCATCTCGCCCATCGCTTCTCTTGTCGCCGTCTTGGCCATCTCCCTCAGGTCGCCGATGCATCCCGCAGCCTCCTTCAGCACCAGATCTCCCTCCTCTCGGCCGCATGTGAGGCTCTGCAGCTGCGGCTCACATGGGGCGACTGACTCAGATGAGTCGGCAGATGACGCAGCAGCTCCCGGGGCAGATCCGCCCTGGCGGTCGCTGCTTCTTCGCCTCCTCGAGACTCCAGAGGCCGACAGCATCATGGCGAGTCGCTGAAACATGCTGGGGGCGCGAGAAGAGGGGTGGTTTGCAAGCTTGCTGGCGATCGGATTGCATGGTGCGGACCTGCAATGACGCTTTGCCCATGATGTGCCACAAGAAGCAGGACGAGTAGCCGGCTCGCTGGCGCCATGCTCATCTGCCAAATGATGAATTATATAGAGATGGATGGTCTTTGTGTGTATGGCATAGCTAATTGGGGTTTCACGGAGATTTCGGAAAGGAACGGGAGAGAGGAGGAGGGCAGTGGGAGAGCGGGATGAGCTATGGTGACGGGAAAAGGGTGCATGCAGACATGCGACTCTTGAGCAGACAGGACATCTGACACTTACTCGTTCTGCGCATTTTGCATGGCAGTCGTTTTCCTTTTTGTTGCTAACTTCATTGAGAAACTGACGACGGGTCGTAAATGGTGTTGAGCGCCTGACGAAAGGCTGTTCGTCTGTCTGTCTGGCTGTATTGCGTGTGTCAATGAGTGCAGCACATCCATCCATCCATCCACCAACACAGACGCACAACCGACGGGATTGATTACCGAAATCACACTCAGACATCCACCCACAATGACCACTGAAACTGAGTGTGTGCCTTCCCGGGGCCTTCAAGACCGGTCCACGATCATGTGGTTGACTCAATCGAACCCCCGGTGTGTGTGTGTGAAGCTTCTTTGTGAGGGGGGCCGGAGCGATGTGTCGTGTGTCTGTGTCCGTGTGTGGTGGTGCTTCGGCAGGTAGAGCAAGGGAAGACAGACATGGACGTATGGCTGTGTGTGTGTGTGTGTGTTGTCTGTCAGGAGGGGCCCGACTCATCAATCATGTGTGTGTCTGATGAGATCGATGGTCTATCCGTCCATTCACAGCCAGGTCAACATACACACGGATGCGCGGCCAGCCAGACAGCCGATGGGATTGACTACCTAAATCACACTCTCACACACATTGCAAAATGACCACTATACCCACAGAGAGCGACAACAACAAGGCCAGCAGTGTGTTCGACTCTGTTGGCTGAGAAATGTGTGTGTGTAGTGTCGTCTCACCGGCCCCTGCCGCTGTCTATATGGGTGCCGTCAGATCGGTTCAGCCGCTCCCCACCTGCACACAGAAAGACGGACAGACAGAAAGACACACCAGTGGTGTGCTTGCTCTCTTGCGCCCACCTGCCACACTTCGATCTCTTCGCACGTGAAGTTCATGGACCGCGCCAGTGTGCCGGCGCCCTCCTCATTGACGGTCGTCCCCTTGTAGCCGTCGGGCACCTCCTTCTTCGCGATCCACTGCTGGCAGCTGCTGAGGTCGGCCGCCGGACCAGGCTGAGCGAATCCCAGCCAGAGACGGCCGCAGGCGATGCAGACGTTCCCAAACGGCTCGTCCTTGATATCCTTCACCACCCCCTGCGTGCCAGCAACGTCCACCTTCTGTGCCTCTTCCGGCAGCTCGATCTTGGTCGGCGTCTCGTACGCACCCGACAGCGAAAAGAACAAGAGGGCACCTTGTAGAAGTTGGCGTGCGTGGGGTCGTGTGGTGGCTTGATCTGGCCGTCGATGAAGGCGCCGAATCGGTGTGTGTCGCCCTGCTTGAGGGCGAAGAGCAGCCCGCTCTTGTCCTCCACCTTGTTAAGGAAGGAGGGATACGCAAAGGTGTCACGACTCGACCTGAGATCAGCACACACGACAGCCATGTCTGTGTGCCCGGCATGTCTGTCTGAGCTCACTTGTACAGCAGCGACGGCGCCACAGCGATCCTCTTGTCCGCCATCTTCATCACCGCCAGCCACTCGTCGGCCGTCTGAATGATCGTGCTGTTTGAAGGCACCGTGTTGAGGCCGTACATTCCCAGCTCGACACCGAAGATGGCCTTCTCGTGCGGCGCGACGACCGGCGGATGCACAAACCGGGAGGGGGGCATGACCGACAAACGGCGGGCAAAGTCGATGATAAGCTGCAGCAACCTGAGGGACGTCTGGCGCACCTCCTGGTCGGGCCACTGAGTCCTGCAACTCACACAGACGAACAAGGCCATGTGCCATCGTCCTGTGTGCTGCTCCTTCGCTCTCCCACCGGTCGAACCGCTTCACAAGCACATGGTCTGGTCCGCAGAGGGCGATGGTGCGGCGGAGGACCGACACATCCTCATCAGACACACCGAGTGTCATCACCTCGGTGTCCTCATCGCTGCTGTCACCCTTGACGAACGGCCGCATGGCCACCAAGAAGGCCTCCATCTTCTCCTTCTGCTTGCGAAGCCCCTCGAGCAGACCCTCGTAGCGCCGCATGCACTGCTCCATCTGCCGAAAGCCTCTCTTCGCGCCGCCCTCCCCGCCGCCCTCTGCCGCCGTGCCAGTTGACTGTGGCTGCTCCCCAATCTCAATGGCACCGCCCAGCGTCTGCATGAGCAGCCCGTGCTACTCGGCATAAGAGGGATCGTCGGCCTCCGGTGAGTGCAGGCTGATCTCGTCGAGGTGGGGGCTCTCGAGCAGTGCCAGCTGGTCACGCAGCCAGCGGAAGTAGGCCGGATGCATCTCGAGGAATGGCAGCTGATTGGCATCCTTGGGCAGGGCGTCGATGAAGTGCAGCAGCAGCGTCGCGAGGTACGTCTGCTTCATCTTGGGATGGAGAAGCGCCGACACGGGGATTGACATAACAGTGCCGCCCACATTGAGCCGAAGGCGGTCCTCTGTCTGCCGCGGCTGCAGACTGCCGCCATTTGCGACGAACAGCTGCTTGATCTCCTCCCCCAGCTGCTCCATCTCGCCCATCGCCGTCTTGGCCATCTCCCTCAGGTCGTCGATGCATCCCGCAGCCTCCTTCAGCACCAGATCTCCCTCCTCACTACCGCATGTGAGGCTCTGCAGCTGCGGCTCACATGGGGCGACTGACTCAGATGAGTCGGGAGATGACGCAGCAGCTCCCGGGGCAGATCCGCCCTGGCGGTCGCTGCTTCTTCGCCTCCTCGAACCTCCAGAGGCCGACACCATCATGGCGAGTCGCTGAAACATGCTGGGGGCGCGAGACGAGATCTTTGTCGTGACCCGCGAAAGTTCACTTCACGGTGCACGGTTCACGGCGCGCCGTTCTTCGCGGGGACCGTGCACCGCGAGCGTGAAGAGCCGAGACTCACGCCACAAGAAACCGAGAAGGCTTCGCAAGCTCGCTGGCGATCGGATTGCATGATGCGGCCCTGCAATGGCGCTTTGCCCATGATGTGCCACAACCAGCAGGACCAGCAGCCGGCTTCTTGGCAGAGGCTTGGTACCGCAACAGTGAGTGTATGATCAGGACCTCTTCATCCATCAGTGACTCCGATGGCTGCGTAGCGAGGCCCCTCGTCAGCGAGGGTGTGCCCAGGCGGAGAAGCTCACCCACCGACGAACTCCAGGACGACCTCATCACCCCCATATTCCCCCGACCGTCTTCATCTCGCCGCTCATCGCTCGGCATTGCAATGGCCGGTGCTTTCGGCGGACTCACCACCTCTCTGCAGAGGCGCAGAACCACGGCAACCACCAGAAGGGGCTCAGAGGATGACCGCAGCGGCCTCAAGAAGAGCTTCAGCAGTGGGCTGCGGCAGCTGTCGTTTCTTCTGCCGTCCAGTGCTGGCAGCTATAGCGGGAGAGAGGGCAGCGGCAGGCTCGGGGGGCGAGTTTTCCTGATGCTGGCGGTCGTGTGTGTGCTGGTGTTGATGGTGCTTTTCTTCCATGCGGACCCCGTGACGTTGCTGCTCGACTGGCGGAGGGCTGTGAGACGGCATCGCCTCCAGCTGCAGCTCTACAAGATGTTCCAATCCTTCCACCTGGAAACACCCGCGGCGTGGCAGACCTTCCTCGACGTTCTTCCACCTCTCCCACCTGGCCTTTTTCGGGGCCGAGGCATTGCTCTTGTCTCAGGTTTTCGCGCCAAGTTCCTGATGCCAACACTGGTCAGCCTCCGTGTGCTGCGCCAATCGTGTCCGTTGCCTGTGGAGGTGTTCTTCCCGCATTCTGACTACTTGAGGGTGGTCGGGAATGAGTGGATTGTGCGGCAGTTTCGCGAGCTGGGTGGCGTGGCTCTGCTGCCTTTGCCGCGAGTGCCGCATGAGGTGATCAAGGCGGATGGGCCGGGAGAAGACACGAGTGTTGATGGAGAGGAATCGTATGCGCATGGGGCGTTTCGGCACTTTCTGCGTGAGCAGCGACGGAGGGAGACATGATCATCTACGTGGCATCCGTATGTTTGTGCATCGCTGCCTGCACTGCAGTGAAGCCCCTTACTTTGCTGGCGACATCTTTTGCTGAGGTGCTCTTCCTCGATGTGGACAACGTGGTGTTGCGAGACCCTTCCTTCCTCTTTGACCACCTCAAGAGATCAAACTCATCTGCCATCTTCTGGCCAGACTACTGGTGAAAAGCAAAGCATGGAAACAAAGCGAAAGGACCCCATCAATGATTGACCTGTCTTTGTGCAGGTCATTGGTGCGTGATGAGGGTGTGCCGTCTATCTGGGACTACACAGACCTTCCGCCCCCTCCAGGCCCCCCAGACGACCAGAACCTCGTGCCCCCCGACTACCCGTACGTCAACATCAGTATTGGACTAGAGACAGGTCAGCTGGTCATCGACAAGGGCAGGTCGGAGACATGGCGAGCTCTTTTGCTGACGACTTTCCTCAACTGGCATTCCGACACGTACTTTCCGCTTATCTATGGGCGAGAGCCTCTGGGCGCGGGAGACAAGGACACATTTCTTGTGGGGTGGTATTTGACTGGCGCCTCCTACACTGTGGTCCAACAAGCTGCCGCCGTTATAGGATCGGGAAAACACAACGTCGGAGTTACTGATGGGACAGGTAGAGAGATGCGTCGAGAGGTGTTGAATACAGTCAGCCGGTTGTGTCTGTCCATGTCTATGTGCCTCAGTGATCGGTCAGCACGACCCCTCGGGCCATCTGCTATTCCTGGTATGTCAGAACGGCCAACCTGGCAGGAGACATCGTATATGCATTTCCCTCCATGTCTTGTTTCAGCACGCCAACCAGCACAAGTACAAGGACCTCGAACGGCACCTGTTGGCCGAGCTGCGGAAGCACCAGACCCGCTACAGCAGCAGAAGCAGCAAGAAAGCCACCGGCCGGTTTCCAATCGCCTCAGGACATTCCTGGGCGAAATACTGCTCATACACCCATCCCGTCTTTGCGGGAGGGCATGGCCGGGACGACAGACGATACCACCGGTCCATCAAGGTGAGACACCCACCCACCCCAGACGATTCCTTTCATTTCTTTGGATGTGTCTCCTTGATTCCTGCATCCCTGCAGGACGGCATGTGGATGTCGATCCGTCGCTGTGTGCCGGCCTTGCTGAGCACTCCCCCATGGGTGAACGCAACTGAGGAGCTCAGCGAGGAGATATGCGGCAAGGATGGTGACAAGGTGCTCGAGACCACACAGGAGGACATCTCGCGGGCGTTGGGGGCCAGGGGCAAGAGGGTTGCCTTCACCGACACCCATCGGCCAGTCAGGTGCGCCTCTCTCGCCAGCGACCTTCATGGGAGGAATGTAGAGGGGGAGGTAATTCGGGCGATTCGTCAGCTGCTGGAAAGTGCGTGTGGTGCCGGGGGTGGCTCTTCTTCTGTGGGCGTGTTGGTAGCTGAGCGGGATTGTAGGCTGTTCCCGTAGGTGAATAGTGCAGAGACGCATCTGATATCCATCTCTCTCCTGTGAGTGTGTAGGGGCCCGTGGGCAGAAAGGAGGGGCACGATTGTAGCGAATGGATCGATCATTCATTCATTCATTTATTCGTCTTCGTGGCGATGATCGACTTACCGGTCCACGCAAATCGTTGCCGCAGAGACATGTGACGAATGGAATGACGGTTCATTACATTCGTTACATGAAAAAAGGCTTCATGCTCCGAGCTACACCTCCTCGAATGAAGTCACGTTCATCAACGCAGCGAAAGTGACGGCACCCCATCCTTTCTGTGTCGATGCGTCCAATACACATGGAACAGCAATCAGGCCGCCACACATGCACTGGCACGTAATGCGACACATACGGCACCCACGTGTCAGACATGTCAGCCACACGCATACCCCTACCACGGCCATCCGGCCCTCGCTGTGTGTGCATCAGAACGCTCTTTATATGCATCAGAACGCTCTCTCTTTCGTGTCTGTCGTGACGACACACGGGCCACAAGCCGCAATCGTACACACGAGGGCAGCACTCAGAGATGCGACGAAAACATCCACCACAAACACAAACACGCACACGGACCCGAATAAAGACAGTCGCAAAAACGCATTGGGTCGAGACAGAGAGTCGGTCGCTTACGTGCTTGACACAGAATCCGATGAACAGTCGGATCATGCGCCGTTCACCTGCAGAGAGGCACATACAAGACGCATCCTCACCCATGTAGCTGTTTCCGTTGCCTTTTCATCCCACTGGTTTACCTGCACGTGATACACCTCCATCTCATCGCACGTGAAGCTGGACGTCCGCGCCAGTGTGCCGTTGCCGTTGCTGTTGATATTTCCCTTGTATTTCGCTTGCAGCTCCCCTTCCTTGATCCACTGATAGCAGCGGCTGAGGTCAGCCGCCGGACCAGGCTCATCGAAGCCGAGCCACAGACGGCCACAGGCGATGGCCACATTCGCGCGCCAATCCATATTTCTGGCCTTCGCCGCCCCCTGTGTGCCGGCCACGTCCACGCACTGGGCCTCCTCCGGCAGCTCGATCTTGGTCGGCGTCTCGTACGCACCCGACAGCGAAAAGAAGAAGAGGGGCACCTTGTAGGGGCCGGTGGTCTCTGTGCGGTCATTTGGTGGCTTGAGCTGGCCGTCGATGAAGTAGCCGAATCGGTGTGTGTCGCCGTCTCGGAGGGCGAACAGAAGGCCGCTCTTGCCCGTCACCTTGTTGAGGAAGGACTGGTACCCAAACGTGTCACGACTCGACCTGATCAATACACACACACGATGCAGCCCCTCCTGCCTCACACTTTTGCGACTTACTTGAAGAGCAGTGTGGCGTTGCCTTTCTTTGTCGAGTCGATGATCCACTGCAGCTCGTCGGCCCAGAGGACGGGGCCGTTGACACTCTCCGTGGTGAGGCCGTACATGCCGCAGTCGGTGGTGAGCTGCCGCTGATTCGGGGCGGTGGGCGGCTTGACGATGCCACCGACGGATGCGAGACGTTGTCGGCGAGCGAAGTCGACCACCTTCATGAAGTGGGCGGCAGAGACGCACGTTACCGGCCCAGTGCTGCAACGCACAAGAAACGGCCAATGAGATGAATGCCATCTCATTGTTATGTGTCACTCACTTGTCGAAAGTGGTGTAGGTCGTTTGTCAGTGCCGATGAGTGCCAGTGTGGACTCAGTGGTCGACACCGTCCTGCCCATGACCCGCACGCTCCTGATCTCATTGCCTTTGCCATCAGCCGACTTGAGGAACGGCCCCATCACACGGTGGAACTTGAGCAGCTGCTGGTGCTCGTCCATCACCTGCTGCACAGCCGTCTTGATGTCGTCCAGGGCCTTCTCGACGCTCGCGGCGCTGCGATCGAGAGCGTTCAGGGGCGTACCGGTGCTTGATGCGTCGTCGATGGCGGTGTCTTGGCGGTCCTGGCGCGTGATGTTCAGATCTGTCTTGTTGGCGAAGAGGATCTCATGCCAGAAGAGCGACGCGCTGTCGGTGCTGTGGTCACCGGTCAGCTTGATCTCGTGGGTCTCGGCCTGGGCATCCGCCACACCGACGTTGGCAATCTCGTTGAACAGCCTGACACAAGAAACACAACAGACACCATCCTGTGAGTTCGTCGGCCCTCCCTCCCCTCAGTATGTCGACTGGCTCACCAGTCCATGTAGATTGGGTCAGCATCGAGGAACGGGCGGCCCTCTGTGTCCTTGGGCAGCCCATCCAGATGGTGCAGCAGCAGATAGGCGATGAACGAGTCGCTCACGCCGGGCAGCAGCAGCGGCTTGCGAGGCACACACAGCACCGTCCCGCCCACGTTGATCTCGATCTCGCCATCCAGCGGCTCAGTGACCGTCAGCTGTC